TATAATAATGAATACAAAATAAATGATATATATATTGTTTATTAATAATTAATGTTTTCTTATATGCAAAATAAATAATAATTATATATATATAATATTTATTTGTATATTTATATAAACATTTATGCATACACAAAATGTAACTATAATTATTATTTACATATGTAAAGTAAATAATATATTTATTTATTTTTGCGCAGGAACTGAGCTGGCGGTCTCGTATCGCTAACCTGCAGAAGTCAGATTTGCTGGGACTCACGCACCCTCCTGGTGCTCCACGTCCTGACAGACAGGGTGACCTTTCACCTTTGACCCTTATCACTGGATTTCATAATACTACACTGATGTGTTTAGTCGTGTCATTGTCTGTAACACTGTTTCTGCATTGTGTGTCAGATGCAGACAGTGAGGAGCGAGCGAGGGAGCGCAGGAGAGCCAGAGCTCGGAGGAGAGGGAAAACTGGAGAGGTGAGGAAGACCAGGACATGTGATTGAAGCAGGAGCGCAGTAATACAGCCTGGATTTAAACCTTTACTGTGTTTTCAGAGTGATGACAACGACCCCAGTGGAGAGGAGAGTAGCGGTGGGCGGGACCCACAGGTCTGACCAATCAGCATGCACTTTTGAATTGATTGACAGTGATAGGACTTAATGACGGGAAAAAAGTAAAGAAATGTATTTAATTCATATTATATTACTACATTTTAAATATTTATTTTAAATGTAAATGTATAGTAATTCCCTTATGTATTAATATATTCATATTATATTATTATATTTCAAATATATTATAATGCAATTTATTTTAAAGACGTATACTATTAATGTGTAAATGTATATTAAGTAATGTATTTAATTATTTGCATATAAGTTTAGTCTGATTAGTGTCATTTGTTAAGTTTTTGCATGTGTTTAATGGTTTCTTGCTGACATGTGAAATATTTTGTGTTTTCCTCATGCAGACAGACAGACACACGAGCAGCAGGTACGAGTCTGACCTTTGACCTTTCACGTTGATTGGTGATCTCAGCGTCCGTGTCCTCATTCTCTCTCGGTCTTTCCTTCCTCTCAGGTCTGATTCGGTCTTGAATGATTGTATTCTCACGAGAGGATCAGAGTCCAGGGACTTTAAGAAGGTCAGCAGGGGTGTGTGGCTCGGCTGCTTGTGTCAGCAGGAGGTTTGTGTGTGTTTAATGTCTGTATCCGTGTGTGTGTGTGTGTGGGTTATTAAAGTAAATAAAACTACTCAAATAAAAAAAAAACTTTCATTACTTGCAATAAAATAAACTACAACTAAAATAAAATGAAATATTATAAAACTCTTAAACTTATTTTTCAGCTACATTTCTCATTTTCATTTAGTTTAAAGTGATGTACTAGAATAACTAAAAGTAAAACTGAATTAAAATTTCATAAAAGTATATACATTTAAACTATAATATAGACAAAAAAAACTAAAAAAAAGATAAACATTTTTAAATATATATTAAGTAATGTGTCTGTGTGTGTATGTATGTATGTATGTGTATATATATATATATATATATATATATAAGAAAAAACTATTTAAGTGTGTGTGTATTTAGGTAGTTTTATTTAACTTTTTTTTCTGAATAATGCTATTGTTCGAACTCTGTTGGTAATAAACAATACTAATAAACAACATTTGGTAAAGGTAAAGGTGGTTAACTTCTGAAGACTACTGCAATTTCATAGTAGATGCACAATACCGATATCGGTACCTTTTTCTTCTAGTATCAATGTGATACCAAATAGCAGTATATTTGACTCCTGTCCGTGTTTGTGTCTGTTACAGAGGCAGGAGAGGTTCACGGACTGCACGGCTCGATTGGAAATGGAAAAGAAGGTGAGATTACAGAACAGAATTCTGCTGAAGTAATGAAAAGCATATGGAATTTTCCCTCTATAGACGTTTTCAGTCTTATGATGTCACTCCACATGCTTGTTTTCTCTCCGTCTCAGGAGAAAAAGATGTTAGAGAGGCGTGCCGTTGAGTTAGAAGAGGAGTTGAAGGTGAGAGCATGTGATCATGGAAGGCTTGTTCTGATTGGCTCTTTCACTCAGTTCTGGATGCTGATTGGCTGAGAGGCGACCGAAGCGTTTCTGTCCACTGAAATGTTGTGAATGTATATATTAATACTTTATCCCTGAGAGCAGTTCAGCCAACACGAGTAAAACCAGTTTAACAAGGCATTTGCCTTACATTAACAGGTATGAAAAATATGATAAATCACGTCATGTTAATGTAAGTTTAGTCGCCTGGTTTTTCTTTCTAGCTTTGCCCACAGTGAAATCTGATTAGTTCTGGCTATGAGTTTGTAACATTGCACTGTATTTTTACTGTTATTGAGGACAGAAAAACAACTTGACACTGGAAACTTGTCGTGTCATGCCTGGTTAGGAGTGGTAAAGTGGTTAAAAAAAAAAAAACAGTATATTCTGGCATCATTTACTCAGCCTCATGTTGCTCCCACGCTTCCCTCTGTAGAATGTGAGGTTTGAAATCAATGAGAGTAGTAATGAACTGATTTGTTTTTTTGCATACCAGTGACAACAGATGACATGCACACAAACTTGAAAATGAAAAGAAAACTTATTTTGCACACTTTTCGCTCAACATTCACTAAAAAATTATATCTATTGGCAAATCTGTCAAAAATCTGAGTTTGAAACTGATCAAGTGGCCAAAATGAAATAAAATGTAAAGCAAAAATAACACATTAATATTAAGTGTATTAATAATATTGATTTTATTAATTATTAATGATATACACTTGACATAAATGACAGTACTTGGTCAGTGGCCATAAAAAAAATGTAAAACAAAAATACTAATAATATGAAAAAAATATATATTAATATAATGTAATATAACAATATCACAATTGCAAAAGCTCATGTTGAAGCCACACAAAGTGTTTGAAAAAAATAAAAAGACAAAAAAACTAAAATATTATTTTAATATTAATTGTTCATATTAATTTTATTAATTTTTAATATGTAATCAACATAACTGACAGTCCCTGGTCAGTGGCCAATCAAACAAAAATGTAAAACAAAAATAATTTATTAAATGAAACAAAAACTACAATGTATGAGTATTAATTGTTTTTGTTGTTATTAATACTACTACTAATAATAATAATTATTATTAATAAATTTTTTATTAATAATACATCATTGTTGTTATTATTATTATTATTATTAATATTGATTTTATTGATTGATTGATTAATTACATTTAATAATTGACGGTCCTTGTAAGTGGCCAATCAAACTAAAATGTAAAACAAAAATATAATATAGGGTTAATTGGGATTTTTTTTCCAGTTACCGCAATTGCAAAAAGTGTCCTAATTTACCTTAATATGCCCTCATCTAATAATATAATATAATATAATTACAAATTGTATGGACTACCTTTTTGGAGCTTGACAGCCCCTGGTCACTTTATTCTTACATTATTTGGAAAACAGCAGCCTGAACATTATTCAAAACATCTCCTTTTGTGTTTCCTGGAAAAAAAAGAAGTCATATGGGTTTGGAATAATATGAGGGTGAGTAAATGATGCTAGTATTTACATTTTAGTATGAGCTGTCTCTGTAAATTACTCCCCTAACAGATGCAAAGAACTCAAGTGTGTCTGTTGCGCAGGTTTTAGGGGATCTGAGAGCCGACAACCAGAGGCTGAAGGACGAGAACGGCGCGCTCATCAGAGTCATCAGCAAACTCTCCAAATAGAGCGAGAGGACCGAGAGAGAGAAAGAGAAACCGTACCACCCCAACATCCTTCAGAGAGCCAAAGAAGGGAAAAGAGGAGGAGAGGAACTTCAGACGCGAGGAGCAATGTCACTGTTTTATGATGGCTCGCAGTCAGCCCTGATCTTTTACCTTCCTGTGTGCGTGTGCTGTGTTTGAACTTCATCCGTGTTCTCAGCGAGGAGACAACGGAGCTTCAGATTTCCCTATTTCTCTCTCTCTCTTACACACACACACACACTCGTATAGGGACGCATGCACATTCCCATAAGCGTGAGCGCACACACTCCACACACATTCCACGAGTCTCAGGCAGCTGAAGTCTGCAGTATTTTTGCATCTTTGCACACACACACACACGATTGAGAGGTTTAACCCTAGACTCCACTAAAGGTGGTCTGAATATGTCACTCGAATCCATCGACTCCAGAATCCAGCGCGACAATCATTCATTGACATCGATTTGCCGAAAACACGCCAGGCTGTCGTTTCACAGCCAGTTATATGCCATGCATCTTTTTTTTTAAAGCGACACTTACGGCGAGCCATGAGGAAATGTCTATTTTTGTGGTTTTTACCCTTGTTTGAATCATCCGTGTTCCCGGCGTATTCTGAAGCGAGGGCGACGGCTTTTGTTTATTGTGTAAATGTACAAATATTATGCATTTGAACTCATAACGCTATAAACTGTTACTTGATATCAGCATATTTTTCTCCACGTGTTGGTTTTCTAATATATTGAATGAATGTTGGCACTTAATAAAATATGTGTGTTTGTAGCCTAGTGCCTGATTTTTTTTTGACATTTTACGGTTTCTCTGCTGTGGTTTATTGTTGTGTAAGATGGCAGTTCGTGCTTTGAGTATTAATTTTTGACATAACTGACAGTCCCTTGTCAGTGGCCAATCAAACTAAAGAATCAATTTAAATAGAAAAAATAAATAAATAAAAAGAAAAACAATATAATATAAAACAATTACATGAATTTGCAAAAAAATAAATATATATAGTACTAAAATGTAAAACAAAATAATATATTAATATTAATAGCATAACATAATTGATCCCTGATCAGTAGCCAAACAAAAAATGTAAAACAAAAAATATAGTAATATTCATATTATTAATTATTATTTTTCTGGAAGTTGTTTGAGTTCAGGTCAGTGCACTGGACAACAAAACCCAACGTTTTCATATTCAGAATTTCTAGGCATCATATGTCCATTTGATTCAAACTGTTCATCATAAGAGCGTTTAATTGAGTTGAACTCGCAACATTTCTGTCAATAAAATGTGTTCAAACATTTGTATTTAACATTTCTAGACATTATAGAGTACATACATTTGAAAGTTCAATTTTGCATTTTTAACCATTCAGTATGTGTGTTTAAATTTATAAGTTTAAATGTTTGATTTGAAGATTCAATTAATTATTTTTGATCGTGTATGCAAGTTTAAATGTTGAAGATTCATCATGTGCATGCAAATGTTCTGTTTAGCATTTTTAGACACCATACACACATATATGTTCATGTTCAGTGCTGGCTAGTAACTGATTACATGTAATCTGGATTACGTAATCAGATTCCAAAAATCAAGTACTTGATAATTAGATTATATTACGTTTTAAAATACTCATAATCAGACTACAGTTACTTTTTTTATTGATTACATGATTACATACTATTCACACAATACCAATAAATTATTCAGAATTTACTGATTCTCTGTAACTCTTCTTTTTCATTTTTGAAACTCCCCTTTCTAAAATAGATTCAGAAAGTCGTCCAGTTTCACAAAGAGAAAGTCACTAGTCAGGTGGCTATTATTACACAGAAAACTGAGAGGTCACACAGCACTTGACCACTGGATTTATGAATATTTGCATGTTCACGGTTCTCTGAAGTTGGTTAAGCGTCACATGACATGCAGGTAAACAAATAAAATATTCCATCTTTTTTTTTTTTTAAAGTAAAGATTCATTTTCGTTTTACATTTTTTATGATTAATTATTACCTTTTCATTAAACTCATGAACCCCCTGCAGTTCCTACGAAGCACAGTTTGGGAAACCTTGACGTAATTAGTGTTTAATGCGTTAATAATAACAACTGGAATATATTTGAATATATATATTTTTATATCAATATGGTACAAAAATATCCTATTTAAATCAATGTGATAAACTAGTTAAAGGGATCATAGGATGCCCATTTTCCACAAGTTGATATGATTCTTTAGGGTCTTAATGAAAAGTCTGTAACATAGTTTGGTTAAAATTTCTCAATGGTAGTGTAAAAAACACCTTTTTTACCCTGTCAAAAACAGCTCTTTTCAGCTCAAGCCATTTTTGTAGCATTTTCCTTTAAATGTTAATGAGCTATGCTGACCCCGCCCCTCTCTTCCGAGCTGCTCTCACAGACTGTTTACTTTAGCTGTATTCATCGTGAAACTTGCTAATTAGCACATTATTAGGAAAGGCGATTTGCAAAGATTCATTACAAAACATTATACTCACTTCTTCTGTAGATGAGGCTAGATCATGAATGATTCGCGCGAACATATACGCATTTAGGTAGATCAGGGGCACATTCCCTTCAGAAACAAATGTAATCCACTGCATCTTCAGCGGCTCAGATGTCGGGAGTAAACGACGACTGCTATGTTCATTATTACATCCAACAACAGAACACCTCAATCGCTTAAGAGTCATTCTTGTCTACATCTGCTCCGGCGGTGAAACAATGGCGGACTGATGACAGCTCACTCAGGCGGGTCTAAGGTAAGACGCAAGTCCAGTCTGTGCTGAAACGCTACTGTCAATCAAACTATCATGGGAGGGGCCTGTGATCGGCTTGATTTGAGAAAGGGGTAAAGATTTTAGTAGATTAACAAAAAACCACTGGGTGGATGTTTATCATTATAGGGTGGTTGTGTACACACACTGCCAACACACATTTCAGTTCAAACAACTTGTAAAAGTGCATGTAGCATCCTATGACCCCTTTAAGTAATCAAAAGTAGTCTGATTATATTACCTAAAATGAGTAATCTAACGGATTACATTCCTAACTACAATTTTTGTCATGCAATTTAGAATCAGTAACAGACTACAATTTGTAAGAAATCTGCCCAGCACTGTTCATATTCATCCTTTCTGTCTACTTTTGATTTAAACTTCTTCAGTACAAATTCAGCAGTTTTGTGTATTATATATGAAAGTTCGAAAGTTTAATTTGAAGATTCGATTCAGTATTTTTGGGCAGTATTAAGTCATCAGGACAGCCAGTCTGTCTCTGTCTTTGTTTTTCTCTCTAATGCTGTGCATGTCTACCAGATGTCCCTCATCATCAGATAGCGGTGGAAAAAAAGAAGAACAGCTGGAATAATGGATCCAACATTCCCACAGAGAGAAGGACAGGAAGTTACAGTAAAGCTGGACAGTGTGAGATCAAACGGCAAAATGATTCATTCAGTGGCTAGTTGTTCTCGACTGAAGAACTACTTGTTTAGAAGGTCAAGAGAACAATAAGAGGATAACAGAAACATGAGGGCGAGAGAAAGTTAAAAAGCCACTTGTGAATGGGATTCAGACATTTGCCTCTCGTTTGGCAAAAAACGAAATGACCCTTGAGAATGAATGCCATCCTCTCATCTGTTTGTCTCATCTACATATACACTGACAACAAGGACAGCTCCTAATAAGGTACGCCGAGCCAGTCTTGCTGTAAATATCCCTGTGGCCTGAGAGAGAGAGCGAGGAGGGCGGAGAGGAAAAGTCTGGGGGGAAACGGAGCGGATGGATTGCGGCCTTATAAGGGTAAAGCTGCTGTTTTTCCCAGGGTCTGGAGCCCCAAACTCCGGCACGCTGCCAAAGGGAAAGGAAACAGCGTTTGGTGCCATCTAGAGCCTGGATCGAGTCATGACCGAGATTTGCACTTCCTGAAGGAAATTCCAGTGCTTTTTTTAAGGGGTTCAAGCATGCGGTGCTGAAACCTTATTGTTATTGTTAGAATGGCCAAGGATCAGCAATCTCCACGTAAAACTGATTGGGCAGACCAAACCGTAAGTCGTAGAGACTTGACACTTGGAGAGATGGTAGTGCTCACACCGTCTACAACAGGGGTGGCAAACTCAGTTCCTAGAGGCCCGGAGCCCTGCAGAGTTTAGATTCAACCCTTATTAAACGCACCTGATCCAACTAATCAAGTCCTTCAGGCTTATTTGAGAACTACATTGTATGTGTGTTGGAGTAGGGTTGGAACAAAACTCTGCAGGGCTCCGGCCCTCCAGGAATTGAGTTTGGCACCCCTGGTCTACAATGTCACCAAGGGTTGCCCCAGTTGGCCTGATGGGGGCGCTACAGAGACCAAAAGTATGAAATCGCTCATAACTCCTAAACTGTTAGTTGCAGGCTCAAGTGCTTTATGTCGTTGAAATCCTTGGCTCATGATGGATAAAACATGTGCCTCGGATTCGATCGTCACCCCCAGGTGAAATTTACGGGTATTTTGGATTTTTTGCGAATCCTACTTTTGCGAACTAGTCCTAGGTTTTTCGCCCGATCTGAACCAACCCACTGCAGACCGATTCTCTGGAGAGTGAATATCAATAATTATCAAAAAAAGTTACACTTTCGACTCACCGTCACAAAGTGATGCCAAAACATTCGAAAGGGGTGGGGCCACTTTTACTAAAATGGCTATAACTTTTGAACAGAATGAGATTTCGTCGCCAAACTCAGAACACTCATGTAAGAGCTCAATCTGAGGACACATTAAAAAAATCGCGGAGCTTGGCCACTTGGTGGCGCTGTAAAAGGAAAAAAAAACATAAAAATGGCTATAACTACTCAACCATTTGTCCGATTAACATGAAAATTGGTATGCAGTGTCTTTGTCCAACGTACCACAGGTGTCCATAAGGACATTTGCGTATCTCAAAAAACATGGCCGCCACTGGCCAATGAAGTTTGAGCACCTGTTAGACAAGGTTAACGGAGGTCGATCGGAATGAAACTCAGTGGGAAACTAGGTCATGCGACAGGTCATTCTAAACAAGCATGCAAAGTTTTATGGAGATCGTAACAAGCATGCAAAGTTTTATGGAGTAAAAAAATGCTTTTTTAATCCTTGATTTAGGTACAGGCTTGCTAAATAATATGTAATGTCTTTTTTCATATATGCTTAAATGCCTTACTTATCTTGAACCCAGATAATCGCTGCTTGCAGCTATAGCTATATATATATATATATATATATATATCTTTTTTTTTTTTAATTGAACTTTCAAAATGGGAGAATTCAACAGCAAGTTCTTGACATATTTCTCACATTTAAACATTTTGTTAGTACAAATTGAAACTCAATTTAAATAAAATAAAAAAAATAGCTTAAAGAGAAAGAAAAAAACTAATGGGCATCACAAATATGTTAAATTCATTTAGCAGAGACAGTTCTTTGGGCTTTTCGATTTTTTTTTTTTTTACTTTACAGATTCCAAATCAACTTTAAAGGCTGTTGGAAAATGAGCAAAATTGGGTTTTGAGTTACTCCATTTAGTTTGATGAATATAAAATTTTCCTAATAGCAAAAACAAATCAATAATAAATATTTTTCTTTTAGAAAAGTCATATTCATTTGAATGAAGTAAAACAGATGATAAATTTAAGACTAGGATGCCGTTCGTTTTATCACTTAGAAATTGTGACATCTCAGACCAAAACAAAGATGAACAGAGAAGTTCAAAAAATAAATGCAGGATAGACTCTCTTTCACAATTACAAAAAGAGCAAAAATAAAAAGATTTGTCACCAACAATTTATAAACGCTCCTTGTGGTAACTGTAATCCTTGTGCAGCATTTTGTTAGCAACTTACATTTTACAGCACACATATCATTCAGAATTTATGTTTGAGGAATTACTCGTTATGTTAAAGAAACTTGTTTTCTGACATAATCAGTCACATGGTAGCTTTTTATCACACAAATCTTTCTCTCGCAATTCTGAGAACAAAAGTCAATTTATGAGATATAGTAAAAAGTCAAAAAATAAATAAAAAGGTAATTGCGACTTTTTATCTCACAATTCTTACTTTTTATCGCAATTTATATTTATATTTATTTAAATATTTATATTTATTTATATATATTTATTTTTATTTGTTTCTCGCAGTTTATATTTCACAATTCTGACTTTTATTATCAGAATTGCGAGTTTATATCTTTTCTGGGGTTTTAAAAAACTACATTTAGTCATTTAGAACTACATCTTAACTAACATTTTAAGTGAACCTTATAAGAAAATATCATAAAAGTATGATAGCCTATATGACCCACTTAGAAACAAATCACCTTTTATTATTATAACGCAGGATTCTTTGGAGACATTTGTTCACTAGAAAGTATACTTGGTTTAATACCTGCATAGAAATAGAAATACGTTCTTTGAAATAATTCAGTATACAAATCAAGATTTTGATTTATCCCTCCTGAGAAAAGCAATAATTATCACGTGACATCGCTGTCTATGTCCTGTTTCAAACTTGACATTATTTAAAGTTTTTATTTTAAAATAGGGGAATTATTCTTTAGACCAACCTACCTGACCAATCAGAGACGGTGTTCGGGCTGTTCGCCCCGCCCACTCCGGTAATTTGACTGTAGCTCCGCCTCTTTTACCTCCGAGAAGAGCAGAAATTTTTCTGCATTCAACAGGAGCACAAAACAAATGCTCGATACATCAGTAAGTACTAACGTTTTATCATAAAACTTGTTTTATAAATGTGTAACATCATTCATTTGACTGTTAGTCAAAGTGAGTAAGATCTCAGCTGTCGGTTTGCATTGGTAAAGCTTTGCTTTTGTTTACGATGGTCAAAGTGTAATTGTCACGGGTTTAAATGACACATACAGTAAACGTATAGGGGCGAAACTCACAAAAACATAATTTTCATGACTATTAATTAATTCATTTATTATTTATTTATTTAATATGTGTGAACAGTGCGTGTGAACATTGTGTGTGTGTGTGTGAAAATTAACATGAATAATGAGAATATTTTAGGACATTTGCTGACCATGAGGTTCCACAGGGGTCTGTCTGTGACATAATTTCCTGTTTTATGGTTGTCTTGTCACATGACAGTGCATAGGCTTCTTGCATCTAGGTTAAACATCCCATCTTTCCTCATATTTTCCATGTTTTTCTTTCAGCAGAAGGCAGAATTGCCCAAAAATGACCTCTGACTCCGTCGACCCGTACATCTTCACCTCTGACACTCTGCCCTCCGACCCTCGCTTCATGCCACCACTGGCCAACGGGCTGCTGGGATGGAGAGTGTTTGATTCAGTTATGCATATGGGCGGGGTTTATAACGGAGAAGGCGGGACTTGTCACCGTGGCAACATTCCATGTCTGCTGGCAGTTCAAATGAAGATGGCAGAAGTGGGACGACACACGTACAGGTTAGACATGCGCACAGGTTAGAATGCATACACACACAAACTTGCATATAATACTGCATTCGATCCTACAGTTCAAGACTCTCTCTCTCTCTCTGTGTGTCAGGTGTTTTCTCTCATACCATGGTCACACCTCATTTTGAGGCCGCTCAGGTTTTGTACGCTCACCGGCAGCAATCAAACCTCCTGGTCATGGAGGTTCTCCTCAAGCGCTCTGAAACCAGCGCTGAACCAATCACGATTCAGCTAGAAAGTTCTTTCAAGCCCCTGCGCGATGACATTGTTTTCCAGAATGCACCGGACTACAAGGGTGGGAGGTACTTCTTTTTTTATATAATATTTGAATCCTGAATTGAAATTTACAACAGCGTTTATAGTGCCATGTCAAAGAAATAAATAAACCTAAGTTTGCAAGAATAAAGTCATAGCAATATGAGATTAAAGTCGTAGTATTTTGAGAATAAAGTCAAAATTACGAGAATAAAGGCATAGCAATATGAGATTAAATATTAAATAATTAATAAATATTAATTATTCTCAAAATACCACAACTTGAATTTACAACAGCGTTTATAGTGCCATGTCAAAGAAATAAATAAACCTAAGTTTACAAGAATAAAGTCATAGCAATATGAGATTAAAGTCGTAGTATTTTGAGAATAAAGTCAAAATTACGAGAATAAAGGCATAGCAATATGAGATTAAATATTAAATAATTAATAAATATTAATTATTCTCAAAATACCACAACTTGAATCTCATATTGCCATGACTTTATTCTTTGTAATTTTGACTTTATTCTCAGAATATTATGATTTTAAACTCGTAATCTTTCATGGCACTAAAACACCGTCGTAGAAATTGGACTTCTTTCTTGTATTTAATTGCATAATGAATTGCAATCACTACATGTGTCAGGTGTAGTAGCGGCAAAATATTTTCATATAAAAATATTCATATAAAACCAAATGTGGGTGTGGCTTAAACCAGAAGTTTGTCTAATCTACATGAAAAAATTAAATGTAATTTTGTTCCCATCATAGTGTACATATAGCAAATATACCTTGCATAATTCATAAAATGATTTATTATTTTTTATTACTAAATTTCTTTTAATAATTAAACACAACAATAAGCATTTAAATATTTTTTAATGATTAAAAATAATACATTTTATTATCTATAAAATATTAAGTATTAAGTAACATTAAGTATAAAATATTATAAAAATATTATTTATATATATTATTAATACTAAACGTTAAATAAAAGAAAAAAGGTGTTTTTAGTAGTGTATGTTTGTTTGTTTCCCAGCAGTGACCTTTTTTTTTTCTCTTCAGGCATGTTTTTGGACAGACCATCTCTGCAGAGGTTCCTGGAGGAATCCGTCCATTTGTGCACCTGATCTGGACACCCATCGCATCCACTCTTACCCTCCCATCCGACCAGAGCCAGTTCAGCTGGGTTTTCCTGGTTGCCGTTGCCGGTAGCGATGAGAGCGTCCAGTCGTGTTATGATACTGGTTTGGGACTTATTGATACTGGCGACTTACGCGCTTCTCACCTGCGAAGCTGGGCGGAGCTTTGGAAGGGGAGCAGCATAGAGGTGGAGGGAGCAGAGAGCCTGAACCGCGCTCTGATTGGCTGCATGTTTTATCTTCTCAGCTCATTCTCATCTTTAAGTGAGGAGGCAAATGCACCGTTTGAGTTTGGAGGTGTCAGTCCTGGGGGTTTGTCAAACGGGAGTGAAGATGAGGATTACCATGGCCATGTGTTCTGGGACCAGGTGAGTTTAACACATTTCATCAGGGACAGCATTGGGGAATGTTACTGTTTATTAATTTTTATTAATTTTACTTTATTTATTTTTTATAATTAGTTTTATGATAATTGACATTATGCTACACCTGCTGTCAAGAGAAACCTAACTTGCATGGAACCCCTTCAAATATGATGATCCCTTTATAAAGGACCCCCTTTCTAAAATATAAAGACAACAAAATAATTTTGTATATGAAAATACATGTGTGGGAAACTGTGTGGGAAAAACAATACCATTTCATTGTAAAGACAACATGTTATTTCCAGTACTGATAATTATAAATATAGTAAATAAAAGAAATGATTCTAAAATATTTCAAAATACTAAAATATTTCAAAAGAAAATACACACATTAATAAATACATATTTTCTTTTTTTTTGTGTGTGTGGAAACCATGATACAATTTTTATACTTTATTTATTTTTTTTACATTACTTTCAAACACAACAACAATAATAATTAAAATACCTTTTAATAATTAAAAATAAATAAAATAAATGTTACATAAAAGGAAAATATTAAGTATAAAATATAAAGTATTAAGTACTATGAAGTGTATATATATATATATATATATATATATATTTATGAAGTACATAATATATATATATATAACAATACTTTATATTTTTGTGGAAATCATGATCTTTTTTTTCAGGATTTTTGATGAATAGGAAGTTCAAAAGAACAGCGTTTATTTGAAACAGAAATCTTTAGTAAAATTATAAATGTCTTTGTCACTTTTGATAAATTTAATGCATTTTTGCTGAAAAATTATAATTATATAACTTATTAATTATTGAGTTAACACATTAACGTCACTAAAAAGTCCTAAAAATGCATTTACTACTTTGTGTTTTTTTTTTCTATCTCAAATTTTACATGGACTCCCAGCCTGTTTGAAAACCCCTTTTAGATTGATGAAGGTTTTTATTTTGTCTGTCTGGCTCTCTGGCTCCGCCCGCAGGACACATGGATGTACCCCAGTGTGGCCCTCTTTTATCCCAGACTGGCCAGGGCTGTCCTGGAATACCGTGTGGGAACGATAGAAGGTGCCCGAGCAAACGCCCAGCAGATGGGCTACAAGGTACTGTGGGTAATCGTCCTTGAATTATCTGTAGCTTTATATTATCCACATTTTTCTACCTTTTTTTATCAGGGATTGAAGTTTGCACGGGAGAGTGCGGTGACAGGTCATGACGTTTGTCCAGAGGACATTTACGCCGAGCAGGAGCTGCACATCAATGGAGACGTGGTTCTGGCTTTCCAGCAGTACTATTATCTCACGCAGGTACAGATAATACACACTTAAACACTGTACACCTGGGCCAGAAATGCATCAGAACCTCATCTGTGTCTCATCCATCACACAGGACCTGGAGATGTTCAGGGAAGGACGGGGCAGTGAGGTGGTGTGGGGCGTCGCTGACTACTGGGTTTCACGGGTAACATGGGAACCTACTAACCAGCAGTACCATATCAAAGGTAAACAGTGGCATCATCAGTCAGGAACAGGGTCATTATCATTATCAAAAACCAAAACTTTTAAAAACATGATTGTTAATTGAAATAAAGCTGAAATAAAATATACATATTAGATGAAAAACTTAAAAAGAACAAAAAACAATAAAAGTGACAAAAGCACATAACAAAATTACAAAAAAATTAAACAAGGTATAAAAATGAAATTTTCATAAAAATACAATAGTAAATAAATAACACTGGTCATGACATCATCAGTCATGCATGCATTCAGCAACTTGAAATAATGAATAAAGTAACTTTACAATAAGATTCCATTAGTTAATGTTAGTTAATGCATTAACTCACATTAACAAACAATGCATAATACATTTATTACAGTATTTATTAATCTTTGTTAATGTTAGTTAATGAAAATACAGTCGTTCATTGTTAGTTCATGTTAATTCACAGTGCATTAACTAATGTGAACAAGCACAACTTTTGATTTTAATAATGAATTAGTAAATGTTGGAATTAACATGAACTAAGATTAATAAATGCTGTAGAAGTATTGTTCATGCTTAGTTCATGTTAACTAAAGTAGTTAACTAATTAACCTTATTGTAAAGTGTTACCTATAATTTTTATGGTAAATACAAGGCGGGACAAAAAGAAAGAAAAAAAAAAAAGTATTAAAAAAATATAACTGAAAAGCACTAAAATAGCAAACTGGAAATAAATAAAAACTAAAACTCAAATAAAAATCAAAAGAACAAAAACACATAACAATGACAAAAACAAACAAACAAAAATTACTAAAAAAAAAAGTATATAAAAAGTAAAGTCTAAAAAAACTACAAATATTAGTAAAAATAAATATTAGTAAAGTATAAAAAACAAAAAATATTAGTAAATAAATAATACTAAAATAACACTGGTCATGACATCATGAGTCATGCATGCATTTAAATACTTGAAATAATTTAAGTAACGTGGAACATTTTGAATTCACACAATATTACATCATATTCGTTTATAATGATTCATAATGTTTTGTGGTGCATTCAGGGTTGGAAAAACGAATGAATGAATAGTGAATAGTGAAGTGAAGTGACATGTGGCCAAGTATGGTTACCCATACTAGGAATTAGTGCTCTGCATTTAACCCATCCTAAGTGCACACACACAGCAGTGAACACACACACCCGGAGCAGTGGGCAGCCATTTATGCTGCGGCGCCCGGGGAGCAGTTGGGGGTTCGGTGCCTTGCTCAAGGGCACCTCAGTCGTGGTATTGAAGGTGTGAGAGAGCGCTGATTATTCACTCCCCCCCACCTACAATTCCTGCCGGTACGAGACTCGAACCCGCAACCTTTGGGTTACGAGTCCGACTCTCTAACCATTAGGCCACGACTTCCCCCACACAGGGAAATAAAAAAAAAATAAAATGAAAAAAACTTGCTAAGTGTCTTGTTTTGATATTGTGCGTAAGCTTCTTTGTGATGGTTTTGTGTTGTTTGTCCGTTAGGTGTGATTCCTCCTGATGAGTACTACTTCACTGTCGACAACTCCGTGTTCACCAATGCTGTCGCCCAACGCAGGTGTGTGTTTGTGCGTGATCTCTCATAATTAGAGTCATTGATTTGAACAAACCCTTAACCCTGAGTACTAAATGTCAGTGCATAAGATTTCTCCTGGCGGGTGATTAAACAGCCAAAAATCACACGATGAATATTGAGAGTATTGTGAGTATTTTTCAGAACTAGCAGGTTCTTTCGTTCTCTCTAATGTGTAGCCTTCAGTTTGCCGTGGAGTTGTCTGGTCTGTTGGCGCACACGGCTCCTTCCGCTTGGCAGGACGTTGCTGATAAGATCAAAATACCCTTTGACCCGGAACTGAAGTATCACCCAGAGTTTGACGGCTACACGCAGGGTGAGACGCCCTCATCAGCTTCATGCTCGTGGTGTAGTAATCATTATATTCCCTGATTCAACTTTCTAAACAAACTCTCAGTGCTGCAGGGATGAGTCCTCAAACCTGAAAATGAGACGTGTTTTTGAACTTCTGGTCCCATCTTCCCAAAGTCAATGGGTTTTTTGAGTGGGGTTTTGGTTAAATGCCTGCAATAAAGTTTGTGTTTACAAAAGCTCAAGATATTTTCACCTTTTATTCTAAAACATAAAATACATCAGTAATACACCATGCATTATTTTTTTTTTAAGCTTTTACTTTCCTGACAAAGGTTAAATGGGCCTACAGAGGTTGTTGGGGACAAACAACAACAACAAAAAATAATAAATCATTAATTAAATGCATTAAAATATTTAATTAATCAGTAGATATATTGGTAACACTTTACAATAAGGTTCATTAGTTAACATTAGTTCACTACTTTAGTTCACATGAACTAAGCAGAAACAATACTACAGGATTTATTCATCTTAGTTCATGTTCATTCCAACATTTACTAATGCATTATTAAAATCAAAAGTTTGTTAACATTAGTTAATGCACTGTGAATTAACATGAACTAACAATGAAAGACTGTATTTTCTTTAACTAACATTAATAAATACTGTAATAAATGTATTGTTCATTGTTCATTGATGTTAGTTAATACATTAACTAACATTAACTAATGGAACCTTATTGTAAAGTGTTACCGATATATATATTTTATATATATATATATATACCTGCAGAGGAGTCTGGGAGTCAGGAGCCGTCCGCTCTTGAAGTTGTCCTGAATACTGGAACTACAATCCCGCTTACTCCAGGTAATAAACAGCAGTAAACAAATAAACAGACCATCAACTATTAATAGTAATTAGTGGTGTTTGCTATGGCAGTGTTTTTTTTTCTCTAGAATGAATGAATTAGTTTAATGAATTGTATCCACAGGACAGCTAGTGAGGTTTCCGCGGCAGCCTGGTCAGATCCGTAAAGTGAATTCCGGTTCTTACGGCTGGCCTGTATGATGATCCACATCCACAAACACTTTATCGAGACTTGAATAAATAATTTCTACTTCATACCTTTCATATTTCAAATATACTACATTTTACTTTAATAATGTACTCTGATAATGCCAGATATATGGATTATTATTATTATTACATGAATCACAGTATACTCAAAGAAAAATAATTTACAATAAAGATTTTAAAAAGTAATTGTATTTTTTTAATTAAATTATGAAAATTCTTGAATTTTAACCTTAAAATTATAACCTTATTGTAATATTATATTCGTCTAAAATGTACACATCAAAATACATTTGACTATATTTTTGTAGTTCTTTTCTGACTGCATTTTTTTTTTTTAGCTTTTTCACCATTTTTTATTCTTTTGA